GTTCCTGCTAGTACGCTTGAAGGTATCCACCCTCTTGCTTGAGCACTTGTCTGTCTGGGAAAACTGGGAGCTATATGTTTGGAACTGCAGGAGGGGAGAACATGGATGTGCAATTTGCAGGCCTCTCTGTCTCTCTGTTTATGCCTGGTGATGCGTTTTGTACCGTATCAGGAACAAAAGCAGACCACTGCAGTTTAGCTGTTAGTGGAGCAGTTTAGCTGTTAGTGGAGCCTGATCTTGGTATTCATCTGGAAAGGATGTTCAGGCTGGTCTAAGCACAGCACTCATTCCAGTAGAACTGGTTTCAATTAGGGTGTGTTTCCTTACTGAAATAGTTATGTAGATGCAACCCCTGACGGGGGTAATTTATACTAGTGAAGATGGACCTTGCACAGAGACAGCTACTCATCTTCCTGCACAGGAATATCAGTCCTAGTATAAATCACATTAATACTGATCAAATTTGACAAGTGGGGGCTTGAATGGCATTAGCTATACTGCTATAGTTCAAGCACTGTAACTTGCATTTAATCATCCTTGTAAAGAATAAGCATACAAATCCTTCTCTATTTAAACAGTTATGCATGTGCATGTCCGAGGGGGATACGGGTTGGATTTTAACAAACTGATATGGTGTATTGGATCATGACTGAGTCTTCAGTTTTAAGCAAAAGGTATTCCTTAAAAACACTTCATATAACTTTGGGGTCTATTTTCCAACCTGGCTGATGCTAATACTTGCTCTTGAGTGCATTTTCAAGGGACTCTGTCTTTTAAGTGAAGTGAGACATCATCTTTGATTAAAGCTTCAGCCTACCCATAGTAAATCTCATGCCTGTTTCAAGCTTCATATTACATTCTCTAATTAGTTGTATCCTTTCTTCTCTCCTTCTGGTTTTAATTTGAAGTCAAATCACTGGTTTACTAAATCAATTTTAGAATCCATTACCTCCAGCTTATTCCCACCGTGCTCCTATGAAGGTTGAAGTGCTTGTGGTATTTTTCCATTCAGTTGCCTTGTCTCTTGTGCCTGGAGGGTGGGGTAGAAATGACTTCTTATTGCTCTAACAGCACCATATGCTGCCTCCCCAAATCTGTCTGGATGCCTCTGACCAGTCTTTCTGTAACAGGAGACACTTCCAAAGCCATGAGCTAAGATCACTAATAATCCATAATTTCCCAGTGTATCCTTGAAAGGGAGTGTGTCCAGGATAGCAGGAGGCCCTGTTACCCCCTCCCCTCACTTCCCTCTGGAACATCAGACTCCAGGAGAAAACCCTAGTTGGTCTGGATCTGTTTGCTTTCCTCAAAGAAAGGATTGACTAGGTCTAAGAAATGGCCCCAAGAAATGGCTCCTCCTTTTTCTGTCCTTACTGCATAACCTGTTAGGGTTTAACAGACAAAGGGAATGGAGAAAAATAACAATTTGGGCTTTTGCAGACCTGTTTACTGCAACGATTACCTGACAAGTAAATTGAATTGGCTTGCATAGGAACTTGATATGGGTTGAAAGCTTGTCATAACCAGAGAGGAATGAGAGACACGAGGTTATCAAGTCTGTTGAAGATGTCTAAAGCAGGTTAGGGATTGCTGGCTGATGACAAGATTCAGCAATATCAGAGATGCACTCTGATTCTATGGAGCGAACCATACAGAGGAAGGGAGAACACCAAGGAGGGCTCACGGCTGGAAGGGTGCTTGATATGAGGGTGTCTTTTTGCTGGCTGTCAGGCAGGAAGATTTGCTGGCTGTCTTGTGTATGATTCAGTATTTTTTTTTTTCTACCCTTCAAGTTACAGCACCACCAAACTCCACTTAGGTCTCTCCACCTGTTTACAGTTGCCCATTAAAACTATGAACTTTTGGGCGCTGCATGGGCAAAGGTGTTCTCATGCAGTTTCCTTGGCCAGCAAAGATGGGTCCGAGCTCTGAGACTAGACAGCTGGGTCACGTTCTGCTGCACCCCTGAGCTCTGCTAGCCCCAGAGGAGTTGGAATCCTGTCTGGGCAGACGCAGAGCAGCCTGCCTTTGTATGAGAGTCCAGGGTGGAAGGCCAGGATAGATGAGGAAACAAGGCTTTTTTTTGACATGGAGAGTGGAAAACCGAAATAACTGGCTGTTGCTAAAGCAGGACAGCATGTGGGTCCCAACAGTATTCCTTTTGGCGAATTTATGCTGGTGGAAGGCTGTGATTGCACCTGCTTGTCCATTCAAGTGGTAGGTGTGACAGCTCTTGCCCTCTCATCAGCTCAAACAAATCTCCCTGCTCCTGCCTCCTCCATGCTGCTGCCTCTTTAAGCAGGCTGCCCTTTGTCTTGGATTGCGGTCAGCCCCTGCAGTTTAGTTTTGCCTAAAACAAGTGATGCTTATGTCTGGTTGGGGATTGTTCCCTGTTCCAGGTTTGGCTTTTCTCAGCCTGGTAAGGGCAGCTTGTTCCCCCAGAGAATGAGGAGCTCAGCAGAGTGAATGCTCACAACTAGCACATTTCACTTGCGTCTCCTCCATTAATACAGGTTTTGAAAAGCAGCATTAGGACTTGGGGGCCTTTTGCTCATGAATTGCTATGGCAGCAACCCTATTGGGGGGAGCTGGTGTCAGACCCTCCAGGTGTGCCACTTTCTCACTGCCATTCTCAATCTTGGGCTGCAGTCACCCAGAGAGGTTTGCTGCTGAATAAATCCGTGGCGTGACTGTTTGTTAGCCTGCAGATGGCTGGAACACCTGAAAGGCACTGTGTGGGAAGATGCTGTTGAAGTGTAGCTAATGTGGCTTGAAAGCCGAGTGACTTCTTGCTTCCTGTGACACCCTTGCACATCTGTACGCGGTGGGCCCTGCCTCTCCTCAAACCAGCCCTGCTCTCCAACAGGTTTACAGCTCCAAAGACCGCCATAATTGCTATAAGCCTAGCCAGGGAGCTCTTACTGCTCTTACTTGAAACCTGTGCACTCAATGGGGTGACCCCAGAGAGTTTGGTTTAGTGAATTTAATCTGTTTGTCCTCTACCATGCTGTTAATCTGGGCTGGTCTCTTGGGGAGAGCTGTAGAGGAGACTAGCCCTTCTCCTCATTAGTGACTTGTTAGGGCAGGTAGTAGTCCAAGGTGGTGGGATTTGTTGCAGCAGCCAAGGGTAAAATATGGGGATTGGTCTTTTGTGTCTGTGCCACAAGCTGCTGTCTCCTGTAGCTGCTGTTGATATTTGCTCATCCGGAAGGGGAACACTGGGAAGGAAGATGCTTGTGATCAAAGCAACAGCGATTCTTCTCCAGTGCTGTTGACACAGTGGTGGGGGTGGCATCAAAAACAGGAGGAGATGAAGAAAACAGCTTTGTGAAAGTGCAGCCAAGTTTGCCCTGCCGACCTGGCAGTCTGGTAGCGAGCGGGTTGGGGTGGGGTGATGAGAGAGACATTTCCAAAAATAACCCTGTTCTCTTTAGCAGCAACGAAAGCCCTGCAGGGTTTAATAGTTCTGCCTCTGTTTGGAGGGGACCAGCTGTTAGTGAAAGACAACACGGTCATGGGAAGCAAACTTCATTACAAATCTAGCACTATCCACTTGCTTACAGCTACCTTCTGGGAATGGTCTCATTTCCTGAAGTGACATTGCAGCAGGCATAGCTGTAGGGGAGTGGTACCCGCCAGATTGCCTAACAGGCACAGACCTGGCTCCAGGGTTGAGGCTGGGGAAAATGAGACTGGTGCTGAGATCCTGTTCAGATGGTGTGCATACAGTTGTACTGGTTAGACAGAAGAGCTATGCTAATAGATTGATCTCCTTCAAGCCCATTAGCAGTTCAATGGACGTTGGAATTGGAAAGGCTATGGATGACGGATGGTAAAAGCTGACAGTTGAATGTTGAGACGTTAAAGAAAAGTTAAAAGTAAGCATTTAAAACAAGTAAAGACAGTTCCACCTAGTCTGATTACCTGCCCAAGGGGATGCTGGATACATTTAACTTGGCCTTGGTCCAGGCCTTGGGTGTAGAATAGTCTCTAAAGAAAGCCACTTCACTTGGGGTGCTTGAATAGAGGTCAGCCAGAGCCCTGGAGATTGTGTTGCATGGGCAGAGGGAAAAATTAGATGTGGTCAAGTAGGTCTCCTCTCTGCCTCTTGTGATAAATCACTAATTCCATTCAGTTCATGCTCTGTGTTGCTGGAAACCACTCTAAGCCTAACACCAACCTGCTGATAATCTAGCCAGCCGCCTTCTTGTCCATCTGTAGCTTCCCAAAATACCTTTCCAAGAATCTACAGCGGATTGTGTGAAATCCTCCTTCGTTATCTCAGCCTGATGACTGTATAATTACAGCAGCAAGAAGAATACTTTGATTCGGTGCTTCAATTATGTAGTGAAAAGGGTCCTAATTAGATCACACCTCAAATGCCATGAAGCAAATTATGAACAAGTGTCTCTCTAATGAAACATCTTAAAACACTGGAATTAATAAGTTAGGAATTATTTTTCAATGTAGGGTTGCAGTGTTTTGGAATATATAAACAGCTTGCTTTCCTGCTCTGGGACTTTTGAGCTTGCTCAGGGCAGTTACTAATCCAAATTCCATATTTTGACTTGCTTCTCTAAAGCAAACCAGTGTCACTCTGGCTTCTGACATGAGCTGCTGCTCGGAAGATTGATGGTCTGAAGTTCCATGTCAGTGATCAGCAAAAGGAACCTGAAGCCTTCCAGAGTCCAGGACCCGGAGCAGTACCATAGTTTACCTTAAATATGCTCTTGCATCTTCTTCTAACTAAGTAATGATGAGATGAGCAGTCTTCCTTCTCTGTTGCCTGGAGGAGGTCACAGTCTGTTACTCATACATTGGATTACAAAACCCTTTTTGTTCCTTTGTTTCATTGATTTGGTCCATCAGTGACTATTGTTCTGAGTTTGGGATCTCTCTCATCAGGTTCAGGCTGCTCTTCCTTGTCTTCTGGGCTCTGTATAGTTCTCTTACTAGAAAACTCTGGCCTCTTTTGGTGTCTCGTTGTCCCAACATGTTTCCTCTGTCAAATGGTGTCAGTCTCTGGATGCTGTTTGTCCTGTTCTCTCCCAGGCATTCCAGTGCCTCCACTGCTGCCCTTTTCATCCTGAATTGTAGCTTAAATTGCTCTGAGGGTACTTTCATGTTGAAATCCCTCGTAAAGACATGTTGCTCCCCTGATACCTTGAAGAAACTAGCTTGTTTGTAGCGTAGGATAATCAGGTTCTGTTTCATTACAGAAACAAGGTAGTACTTAAAACTATCAGGACATGACTGATTACCATCTGACCACCATGTCTTGCTTTTTGTCCTTTATTTTGCCTTTGCTCACTACCTTTTGAGGGAGCCAGCTCTTTAGCGCAAAGACTTTGCATAAAACAACAGGAAGGTAGTGCCATGCAGGCTGTGGCTGTTATTGCATACAGACTATAATCGGAGAGAGAGATCTGTGCTCAGTAAGACTGGTTGATGACTCTGAATTGTCATCTAGGTTGAATATCTGAGGAAAAGCAGAGGTGAAACAATTTGGAGAGAAATTGATTCCTGCCTGTATTCCTAAAGCTTGACACTTAAGGTGTTTATGTTGTCAAAGTGCGATGCAAATAGGTAGCCATCTGTTATTAATTGACACAACTGGCAGATGAATGAAATGAAAATTTGTCCATTTGGAGTCCGAGGGAAAATGGGGCCTCCGCACTGGTGTGATCACATTCAGAGCTACTTATTGTTGCACTCTCACTCTGCAACACTTCTCTCTTGGGGAAAATGCGTCATGCAGCTCATGCCAGAACAGCTGGGTTTACTACTCGGATCAACTTCTTGATCCATCCTGTTCACGTATATCCTGTTCACCTATATGCTTCCATGATGGAAAATGGGCTTGCTGAAGCACTAGCTTTGTGTGTTGGGAGCAACATACCTTAGCTGGGTGTCAGGAGGCTAATTGATGCTTTTAGCATATTGAACTGCTTAAGTGAAAAGGAAGGTATTCTCCTTATTCCACATGTTTGGAAAGTGGACATGTCTGGCAAACTGAATCCTTTCTGGTGCCACCAATATGGCAGCTTAGGGGTTTTTTTCCTTATACATTGTGAATCTGGTAGATTTCAGTGGTCTAAGGAAGCAGAAGTTAGTTCACCTTGAACCAGTTCCCAAATTTCTGCTTCTTCTGGTGGAGAACAGCTTCACCTCTTCACTCAGTGGCATTCCTCTCTAGTGCAATGCAAATAATGTACTGTTTTTCCAAGTGCTCTGACTCCCTTTTAAGAAATGAGGAAAGAATGTACATGCCACATTGTAATTATCTGATCCAAACAAGCCCCAGGTATAAATTCCCCTGGCTGGAAGGATGCTTGCTGGAGTTGATCTGAGGGTAGACTTCTCATTGGTCAGGGTGAGAAAACCAGCTGCTCTGGCATCCAGCCCACATCTCTGCAGAGAAACCTTTAATGAGAACTAAGTGAGCTTCTCCCGCCCTGTGAAGGCAAACCAGCCAAGTGTCCCAAGTGTGGGAGGCTTGCAGATGCAAAGCTGGTTTCTGGCTGTGCAACAACACAGAGGAGCAGGGTTTCACTGACTTCTCAATGCCATGAGCTTTACAAGAAAGGGAAAAAGAGAACTGGAAAATGTTTTGAAGTGTAAACTATCCTGATTAGAAGGTGGGGTCTTCACCTGATGCCCCACCTGCCACCAGTTATATTGGCTATGTGTAATGATCTGTCAGTATTGAGACCCATAAAACTTCTTGCTAACACAAAATCCTGAGATTCAGTTTGCTAGCACTTTGTCATCTTGCAGAATCTGAGTTCAGGGCTGCCATCGGGACAGATCTGCCATGATGAACAGAGGCTCGAGGTGATCTTTGCCGATCTGGCCAGGCATAAAGATGATGCCCAGCAGCGCAGCTGGGCTCTCTATGAAGACGAAAATGTCATCTGCTGCTACCTGGAAGAGCTGCTTCGCATCCTGGTGAGTGCCTGCATGTTGGTTCTGTGGAGCCCGGGGCCCTTGTTCGCTCCTCGATGTCTTTTCCTTGTTCTGCCCCCAGTTCAGCAGCTGGCTTCTATCTTGCACCCATTATTCCTGGTATGTAGTCCTGTCATTACTCCATTTATATGCAATAATATAGTCTGGGGTGGAGGGTGCTGGCTTCTGAGGAATCTCCCCTCTGTGCAGTCTACCTTGCTGGGTAATCATGTTCAAATCCACCTTGCAAAATTGTCATGAAAAACATTTAGTCCCTGCTGTCCTACATGCCAATGAGCATTGTAGTAACCTATCCTAGTCACCCAAAATCCTCTGCCCAGGCAGAGGGTGGGAGTGAAACTCCATGAAGCTCATGTGAAGCCAAATCTGTCAGAAAACAACCCTGGCTTAGCTGTCCAACCAGTTCACATAGGGCAAATGACATTAGAAACTATGTTCTAGTCATAGCCCCAGTAACTGCCTGATACTGTCCATCTTTGCTGCCTTTTAAAGCTACATTACAAAATATGACCTGCAGCTGTACTTATGACCTGCTTCCAATGCCGGGTTGTGGCTAGCAGAGAAAGGGCCTAACTCTTAATTTGCTCTCAACACATGTAAGCTTCAGTTCTTTCCCTCAGATGTGCACTTCAACAGGTTACACTGAGTCCAGCTTTCTGTGTGCCCACAGAGTTCTGCAAGGTAAGAGCTATCCTGTTTGCAAAGGTACAGAAGCCCTGAAGGTGAATTTCAAAATTTTTAATTAGCAGATGTGAAATGTCCTCCCAACATGTTGTGTCATAGGTGGAGAGCTGCGTTTTCATTGGAAGCAGCTGTTGTGGTCCATGCAAGCTTATCTTTGTGTGGGAGCTGAATTACATATGCATATATTAAACTTTCTCATGACCATAGCACAACATGGTACTGCATAGCAGTAGTTTCGAGAAGCTGCTCTTTAGTTTATAGGACCTGGAGGAGGATGCACTGGAGTGGCATTGAGACAGCTTCAGAACTTTGATTTTTGTGTGTGTGTGTATTTCTAATGCAGCTGTGCTCTCAGATGCAGGTTTCAGGCATTGCCCTTGATTTCTTTATAAGGTACTTGGCCTGGGAACACAAGAATGTGAGGCCTGGTTGAGTGGGAACAACCTTTCACACTGTCGAAGGACAACCTGACCCAGACTTGCTACAGACTCTTGACAGTCCATCCTGCTCCTGCAGGGTACCACCTGTGTGACCTGCCCATTTTTGTATTTCCAGACAGATGCAGATCCTGAGGTTTGCAAGAAAATGTGCAAGAAGAATGAGTTTGAATCAGTCCTGTCCCTTGTGGCCTATTATCAGATGGTAAGAGATGTTGCAGCCTGTTTCTTCTATTGGAAGGTCTCCTGTAGGCTCAAGAGAAGGGCTAACAAGGGTGAACGTATGAAACTTTCCCATTTGGATGCTTTACTCTTTAAACTGGGCTGAGTTTCAGAAACACCTCCTGCTTTTGGTTTACTGTAGTACATATATAGGTTACATGCAGGACCGGACCTCTGGAGTGGCTTCAGTAGCAGTGTCCAGTTTTCTGTGCCAGGAGTCTGAAGGGTAAAGCTTGCTTCTTTTTTAGCTCCACTCGGGAGCAGAAGCAGCAGTTCTGCTGTCACTGAGAGGAAGGGCTTCTGAGAATGCCGTGGGAAAGCTGACGGGCTGCTACTGTTCCTCTCAATTGACGCACGTCTGTGCATTAGTAAACAGCTTTGCTTAGGAAAGTAGGTTGTGAGGAGAAGCCCTGGGACTGAGGAAGGAAATCAGTATTCAGAGGAAGAAGTTTGAGTTTGCCTTTAGAGCCTTCGGAAATGCTTCTGTGCCCCATCCCTTTCCGAAGCGCACTGCTGTGGGACTTGGACACGGACAAGGGGCTCTTTGTTAGTTTCCAGCTATAGTACATTAAGTGTTGTTATGCTTAGCTTTTAGTATGTTCTCTATTTAAATTCAGCTTGGCATGAAAGGGCTGCAGCATGTTTCAGAGAACTGGGAAGAGCAGTGGGAAACAGGAATCTGCTGGCTTCCCTGCCATGCAGTGGTGGTCTGCTCTGCCCTGCTCTCTGAGTGTATCTGCACAGAAGGGCAGTAAGGCTGCCCACATAGCTAGGGCACCGCATGCCAGGACTTAACTGCCCTTTCCTTCTGAGCTCTGAGCAGTTTCTAGGCTGGCTTTTGGAGCAGTGGCAGGCTTAATGTTGCACCGTGGTGCCTCTGTGTGCTCCAGGCTTGAGCACAGTCCTGACAATGGCACTCACATAGCAGTGTTCTAAAGCTTTTTGATTAAAATCACATCCTCTCAGCATCAAATCAAATAACTTCATAGCAGCCCCTCAAGATTCTGTTTGAGTTATCAAAGACACTACAAGGGAAAGGGAGGCTTTGCAAGGCTCATGCTCCCAGGGGACTTGCTTGCCCTCTCATACCAGGGCTCATGGAGTCTTTGTCCGCTTGTTCATTAAATCAGACCAGCTTTTGATGGGGGCATCGCCTATCTCATCACAACAGCAGAGTTGAGTTGCATTTAGAATCTGAGCCTTTGCTGCATGTGCAGTCTTTGGGACTGTCTGATATAAGACCTACCCTCATGGCTAGATTTAAAGAGTTCAAACTAAAAGCTGGGATGGGTGCACAATCTAATCTTATTAGACAACCCTATGCTGTTCCTGATGATGTGCTGAAACTTGGGGCTACTCCCACGTTAGAACTAAATGCAGACATTGGAGTAAATGCAGGTGTTTGCATGCTTAGTCGGGCTTCTGTGTAGAACTGAATGCCCAATCCTGGCATTGTTTCTCCTGCATGTCAGGCTATTTTTTAAGCCTTCCTCAGAGGCATTGGGTGTGGGCTGGAGCCAAAGCTGGGGATTTTGATTGGGGTGTGCCAGTGCTCCTGTTGTCACTCAAAGCAGTGGTTCCTGGCTAGAGGGTCTTGCCCCTCCACGCAGGGTCAGACTGATTGCGGTATTTGGGGTCAGAAAGGAATTTTACTCCATGGTCAGACTGGTATGGACTGAAGGGATTTTTGCCTTTCTCTGTAGCAGAGGAGCATGACCCTCTACCTGGGATCTCTTGAGCATATATTAACAACCTTTTACAGAAACAGGATATTGGCTGCTGTGGTTCCCCTGCCTTTCCTGTGGCAGGTTAGTGTGTTTATGTCTTGTGTCTGGGTTAATGGTGGTTTTATGAAGAGGTTAGCTTATGGATTTGTGTAAGATGGTTTGGATAGGGTGATCCTGCCTCAGGCAGGAGGCTGGTCTCGGTGGCCTCTGGAGGTTCTTTACAGCCCTGCTTCTCTATGATTCTCTGAAGGATGCTCTCCTTTCCAGGAACACCGAGTGCCACTCCGCCTGCTGCTGCTGAAGTGCTTTGGAGCCATGTGCAACTTGGATGCTGCTATTATCTCCACGCTCGTTAACTCTGTCCTCCCCATGGAGTTGGCCCGAGACATGCAGACTCATACGCAAGGTGAGCCGCAATCTCTGAGCTGCTCTGACACACGATTCCCCAAGGGTGCGTTGTTCCATTAGATATGTTCCTCAGCAGCTTGTAACAAAGCTTTGGTGCTCTAACCTCTCACAAGTTGTTGGCAAGCTGCCGGAGGCTCTGGGGGAGACTAGCATATCTGTTCTTAGGGTTAGGCAGCTTGATTTCTTCGGTAAAGCCAGCTGGGTTTAATCCTCTGAGTGAGGCTATAAATAAATGTGGAGGTAGCATCCCACTGGCACAGGCTGCCTCACTCTCCAGTGTCCTGCTAAGCAGGAAGCTGCATGCATTGGTATTCTGTTTATCTACCAGTGTAGCTTCAAGTATTTCAGCTTTCTTTCAAGGCTGTGGTAGAGGATGCATGCAGGTCCTTGATGCAGAAATCTGGCTGCTTGCAGGCAAGCTGCATCTGTGCGCCCCAGCCTTTCCACCCCTGTGCAAAGTGCCCCGTTCTTTCTGACAGAGATGCAGCAGTTCAAGTCGAGCAGCCATCCCTGAGGCTAGACTTACTGCTTGTCAGTACCACCAGAGCACTTGCTGTGGATTGTTTCCTTCCCTACTTTTCCAGTTCTGCCTGGTTTTGAAAGCAAGCAGTGAAACTTCCCTGATCCCTTGACAAACATACTGCAAGGCATCTTGTTCCTCTGACGGTTCCCTTGTACTGTTCTGTAATTTATCCCCTTCATTTGTTTATATGCATCGCTGGTGGAGGGTCGTGATAAGCCAGCCGTATTGGATCCTAGTAGGCAGGTGCCTTCTAGGTTGGCAGCGATTATGACCTTTGTTTTGTAGAGCTGCAGATGTGAAGGTTTTGCTGCTCATGGCCTCTGAAGATGAGATTTCCCTCCCCTGCAAGGGGTCTGGATCTTCTGCAGAGAGACTGACAGCACAACCCTGACCTGCTAGTCTAGAATCGGAGGTGCTTTTCTTCTCTCCAGCTGTCCTGCCACCGGTGTGGATGAGGGCATGGAAACAAACCTGTTTCTTGTGAGGGCATGTGCAGATAGCCAGCACCTAGTAGTGCTTGGGAATGTGCTATGCAGAGTGTATTCATGCATATACAGTTCCCAGAGAGAGAGCTGGGACTCTCCCCTTACTCCTAAGGGAAGGCTGGGGTCCTTTGGCATTAATACAGGCAGCCCTTGTGCCCTGGAACATGCATGCTGCTTCTGGAGGTAGCTGCAGCTTGGATCCTTCCTGTAGCCTCAGCACAACTGAAAACTGCCCGTGGCTGTAGGTACTATGCAGTGCCACAGAAATTTTCTGGGCCTTGTGTATAAGACTTTTATGCCCCAGCTCCTTCCAATTCAGTCCCTACTGGTGAAAGCTGCTGACATCTTTCTTCTTGGCTAACACCTGATGTGAAATGACAGCAATGCAACTCCACCTTCCTGAAGACCTGGTTGAAGGAAGGGAGCGGGGGAGGCACTTGAAGCCAACCTGCCAAATGGAAGTACAGCTTAATTGAGGTAATGGGCGGCGCTTCCGTGTCAAACACAAAGAGAGAACTGTTTAACAAGCCCCTCTAGGCTCCTGGTGCAGAGACGAAACGAAGAATAAAACTTGCAGAGGGAAGCTCCCCAGGGATGCTGCTCGCTTTGAGCTGCCTCTCTTGCTGGGCTTACCCTGAGGCCAAAGCTTAGCCTGACCCAGGGCAAGGGGACACTGTCAGAGCTAGGCTGGCCCTCCCCTGTGTGAGCAGCCAGATGTGACTGAAATTAAGAAAGCATTCATTAGAGCTGGGCAAGAAGGCAGCAAGAGAGCTATAGCGTTTGTCTCTGTATTGAATGCAACTTGAAAAATCCCACTGAGCAGGGAGGGAGCAGTGGGAAGATCAGTTGCTTCTTACCCTGCCCCAAATGAAAAGAAGCCGCCCTGTGTTGGAGAAAAGTGTCAGGGAGCCACCGACATCTATCAGCAGCTTGGATTCACTGGGCTCTGCTGGAGACTGACTAGTGACCTAACAAAAAACCTGGAGCTAGGGCAAGAGAAGGGAAGACTGATTGTACCCTCCAGTGCACTCCGATGGGAAGATGAAAAAAAATCTATCTCATCGAACTGCGCTGCGGCCAGGGATTGCCTCTTCCTCAGCTCCTAGCACTGTCACCTCCTAACATTCCTCTCCTGTGTATTGCACGTTTGGTGCATGTGTTTTTCAGAAATCTGACCCATCTCCTGTCGAATGGCTTAGGTGTCAGTGGGAAAGCCTCGCCTGACAGGTTCGACCTGTGATGTTTTGCTGTTGTGGTGTTCTGCCATTTTATGCCTGTCTGCCTTGTATCCTGAGATCTAACTTTTAAGTGTAGCTGTGGGGTGAAGAGAAGTTGTGCATTTTTAAAAATATTAAAAGAACCCCTCAAAAAAACAAAAAAACCCCCCAGCTCTCTCTGTGTGGTCTCAAATGTTTCAGGTATTGACCAATTTAAGCAGTTGATGATGGTGATAGGCACCATAGAGAGAGTAGTTAAGATCCCATCTATTTGCCTCTGCCTTCACACTACCTGGAGGTCAGACTGTGCTGGTTATAGCATTGTAACAGGGCACCATCTCAGGTGGCTGTGAAGCCCCTGGAGCCTAAGCAAATTTCTTGCTCTGTGCTTTTGGGGCAGTCCCCCCTTTTTTTTTTCCTGCCATGCCTTGAAGTAAATTGTTAACAAAGTACAGGAGGCTGCCCTGATCTTACACTAATGATCCCCAGGTGTTGGGAGTTGATGCCTTGTAGGCTAATTGTGTGGCTCCATTCCACCCCTACACCATGCCTCATGCCTCGCAGGTGTTTTGAGTCATCATTCGGGTGGGATACTCATCCCTACCTCACCAGGGTTTTAACCTTCCTGGTTTCTGCCCCAGTACTGTGGCTGGTCCCATAGCCAACGCCCACTGTTCTCGACGTTTGGCCCTCAACCCTGGTTTTGGCCTCTCGGGTGCCAGACCCATGGGCCCTGTCTCTGCCCTGCTTTGGGTTCTGGGCTCTGCAGCCCCACACTTTGCCCTGCTCTGGGCTCTGCAGTTCCATCCACCCTTTATTTTTCTCTGGGCACAGCACCTTCTCTGCCTTGAGCCTACTGCCAGCAGGGCTCATGTCAGTCACATGCCCCTAGGACACCAGTGGGACCTCCAAATCATCCCTTTAGTCCCAAACCCAAGCCACTGGTGTACCTGAAATCAAAGCACTTCTGCCTTCTGCTAGGCACTCAAACTCTTGCTGGGCTTGCAATACAATAAAGGCCACTTGTCTGCATAACAAGTCTCTCTCTGCTCTCAGGTAGCTCTTCCTTGCTCCCAGGCCCGCATAGCTGCTTCCTTCCAGCCTTACCTGCTATGCTGCTGCCAGGATCTCTACACTCTGCGACTCTCAGCGCTGGCCTCCTAGACTGGCTCGAGCCCAGGGCTTATAGCCTGGGCCTGAGCCCGCTTCCAGTCATGTGACACCCCTGTCAGCTAACCTGGCTACAGGGCTGTCCCTTAATCCCTGCTCTGCTGGCTGCTTGTGCTACAAAGGCTGCCCTTAAAGAGGCTGTGCTGCTCTTCAAAAACAGGGCCGTGGTTCTGTTACAAGCATGGGCGACTGGAGCCTCTTGAGTCAGGGTGCACCGGTTAGTGACTGGGGAGGGTCCCCCTATGGCCGATCTCACTGAATTGGGGGGGAGGGGTTCCCTGGCAGCTGACCTTACTTGCCAAAAAGCAGCCATGCCACTTCCGGAAGCGGCGTGGCCACTTTTGCTGACGGCCCCACTCAGCAGGCCGGTGCTCGCAGGGGGGACACTGGCGCTCCTGCCTGCCCCCCGGCTAAACAGGGAGCGCAGCCTGATGGGGTGCACCAGCGCTGTCAGGGGGTGCATGTGCACCCCCTACACATCGCCATTGGTTACAAGCATGTACCCACAAACAAGTGGGATTGGGAAGTGCTGATCCCTGGCACAGAGGCTCAAAGCTGGGACACCAGAGAACTCCAGTAAAAGCCTGGAGTGTCAGTGAATGGGCTAGTTTCTTATGGCCTTTTTGTTGCATTCTCCCACCCCCAGGTTTTCTTTGAAATAAGGCAGAAGAGTGAGTAACTAAAATGCTGTTCTATTTTGTAATGGCAAGTGGTGGCAAGGCCAGTCAGCATCCTGATGGATGTGTTGCTCCATCACTCCAGAGTCTCAAGTCCCTATTGCTGTGCCCTCTGCCCTATCCAGCAGTGCTGCAGAATGGAGCCATGGCTTATCCAGGGGCAGGCAGCTGCCACTGCTGTGCACACCCTGGGAGGGCACGGTGGGGAGTGGGGGGGATAAGGTGTGTGCCCCTGGATCGGCGTAGGCAGGGTGGGCTGCAGCTGCGTGGGGCTCTGCTTGGCAGGGGCTGAGCTGTGCTCGGGGTGGGCGGCAGTGGCGCTGGGAGGGGGAATATGGGAGGGTTGCAGCCACCCCAAAATTTGCCATAGCCCCTCCCAACCTTTCCTCCCAGCACTGCTGCTGCCCACCCCAAG